AAACAACAACTTTTTTAATAATATTATCAATGTGAATCCCGCTAATTTCACGGACATTTTTATCTACGAAATCCTGGCTGAAGACAAAAACCTCCGCCCATTTGCCGCCCACCTCTTGAGTTCAGAATTCTAAGTTCCAGTTTTCCGGTTTTCAAGCAGCATCGATCGGGGTCAGTTTCTGGGAGGGTGACCTCCCACGTGACTGGCTCCGACGAATGAACAATTAGTATTCGGGCTTTCCTACACAGGTCATCCGAAGTTTCTGTCTCCGGCCCCTGCTTGGCGGATTTCATCCAAGATGTAGCAGTACAGGAGCAAAGTGCTTCTTTTTCTCTCTCCAGCACACTTCTACCTCCACGAGAGAAAATTTCTTTCAGGCTTCTACTCTGTCAGGCCCCACATGGGATCACATCAGGAACTGGCAAGAGCAGGACTTTAATTTCCTGCTGAAAGCCAGTATAACCGCAAAGTTCGAAAGTTCTCAAGTGTGAGAGAGCTTATAGTCTCAGACCACGTCGGCTCGGTGGGCGTTCGCCCGGCTGGACTGCTACCCGGATGAATAGGGTGCTGGGTCTGGGCGTCTGGTGCGAGTCTCACGTGTGGCTTATTCTGGCCTTGCTCTGGATATTGGAGGACGTGGCGCTAAACCAATTAACCATAACGGTAAAGGATGGTGCCCACGTCCCCCGTTCCTAATCCTAATCCTAAGGCTTGCTACGCACCATAGATAGGCCAAAACTTGCGTTTAAGCTCTATGAACAGCGACTATTTAAATGTCTACTGAAGATTTACTTTAAATTGTTTTGATTGTTCAGTTTAGACCCAAACGCGGTCATTATTTTTCCTGTTATCACTCCCGAGCTGGGAGTTGCTGTAAATAGTGATTTAAATAAAAGGATCTTTTACACCCTTCTGACGTTCTAGTACTCACAAGAACATAGCTGCCTTCAGCTCCCTGTTCGAAATCAGGACCTTGATACTGTCACCATTACGTTTGCCAAAAGTATGCACAGAACACTTAGTCCTGACAATCTGAAATTGTTTTTGACACGCTGGTTTTGAAAAGCGTGTTGAAGAGGAAGATGAAACAGAGGATTTGGCTATAGTTAAATGGCTAAGAAAGAAATAGCATTTCCATGTTTTCAGAATGTGACTTTAAGCTTTCCCAAACATGACGATGCTGCTACTGTAAAGATCTGAGATATAAAGATAATGTGACAGAAATTAAATAAAAAGTGCTGACTTCGAAGATTCTTTTTCTGATGTTGATGAACATATTGAAGATCACGCGGAGATCGAACTCGCTACCATATGCGATGTCAAACCTGCGATGCGTGTCATTAATAAGTTTTTAATCACATAAACTACAGAACCGAAAGTGATGGAATCTTCAGTTTTTAGGTAGAAATATGATTAAAATTTTCTGACAGTCTGCTTTATGCTAACAGAAAATTGCAGATTATTTTTGTACTCAGACTGTGAATAAAAGGTGAGTTTATCAATTTTTTTGTTATTAATTTCTAGCATTTTATACATTTTTATAGATAAAATAATCAATAATTATAAATGTGGATTTTAGAAGGAGATATGTATATCGAGTAAAGGGTCTTAACGATGACTTTTATGCTGATTTTTGTATTAATGTGTGATGAAAGGGAAAAAGAAAAACATATTAAGAATTGAAAGTAATAGTAATCGTAATTAACTCTTAATATGCTATTTAAAATTAAAGTTATTATTAATTTTTTGCTATCTATGACAATACTAAATAGTCCTCCTCCCTGTTCGTGTGTGTGTTTCGTCAGCCAGTTTCTCACTTCATATTGTAGTATAATCCATTATCATTATCAGAATGAACATAGTGAAGCAAATTTTCGATCTCTTGAAGTTCGTTATAACGAGGTTTAATATTTAAGAAACGTTAATTACAACAGCATCTAACTATTCTTTTAAAATTAAGCAAAATAAAATCCCAAATGGATACTTGGGCATTTGCCATATAACAGACCCAAACCAAAAAGGTGTGGGTAGTTATTTCTCATTTACTGTTGTTTTTTCTAACCCTCGCTGCTCTGAACCTGCAGCCAGATCAAATTTACGAATTTTATCGGAACCAAGAGTTGGTTCTTTTGCTGGCTTAGGCACCTTATAAGCTCCTTATTAGGTGACAATGGCAACAGAGCGGCTTTTTCTGAGTTGACCAGTAAGATTGCAAACAATCAATCAGCTAGTTAAATTATTTCCAGCACTGATGTTCAAAATTCAGAAAAATTTCACATTTAATCGATTGTATCCATAACTCAGGAACACGTTTTAATGAATTTTGACCTGGACATTGGTTCCTATATAAAAAAATATACTAAGCAACAGTATAATCGTGGTACTCGCGCATAATCGTGATCGGCGCAATAAGGTATGAAACAGAGGTTTCAGTATCGAAACAAAAAAGAGGCAAATAGGGGTATGGTAATTTAATACGGCTTTCCCAAAGTGATTTGGTGCTGGAAATGAGTCTCTGTGGTAGTCGGTCACACTCCTGCTGTAGCGCTGTTTTCAGATTCTGTGAGGAGAAAAGTAGCCTTTCCAAGAGCGCTCCAGACATGTTCTGTAAGGTTTAGGTCTGGCGATCTGGCTGGCCAATTAGTTTGGTTGATGTAAAGATCATGACTTGTAAAGATCGTGACTTGTAAAAATCATGACTTGTAAATATCGTGACTTAAAGAGAATTTGAAATATTAATAATAGGATAAGAACCTGCATTTTACGGTGTGGCAACAAGAGGAGAATTCGGAAGATTTTTATATATTTTGTTTGTAGAGTTTAAGATTTTAGTTTTTTATAGTTGTAAGAGTTTTAACTGTAGTAGTTAAGAGTTTAAAATTTTGATAGTAGAGCTGCAGCATTTTTTTTTTTTTGGGTTCTGTTTTAAAATTCAAATAAAAGTATTTTGTTCATTCTGAAAATTTAGCTTTGTTCTTCCTACAAGGTTCAATATCCATTATATTGAAATAAGGAAAGGATTTTTACTGTTGATATCCTCACTTTCAAGAAAACTCCATCCATCAGATTAGCCGTATAGGAGGGAACGTTGTCATCCATGCGCCAGTGTCCCTTATCCATTATTATTTATGTGTACCTTAACTGATATGTGATATATTTTTTGCATTATATCAACTTGCGTCCATACCATGTTTCATTAATTTCCGGAGATAATTGACTAAATGTTAAATTTTTTTAGTTCAGAACACTTCTAACACCACCGGGGCAGTAAGTAATGTGGATAATACGTCTTCTAAAGAAATTCAAAGTAGGGGTAATGGAATCGGTTTTGATGTAAAAAGAAAATATTATGAAAGAAAAAGGCTGTGAAAACAGTAGTAAATAATATGTATTCCGAAGCAAAAGGAATATCCTCGTATCTCACAGAGCCTTGCTGTGCGGGTAAAGTTCTTTATTAAATATTCAACATTTGATTTAAAAAAAAAGTAAAAAATTCTGAAGGTCAAAACACATAAGATCCGTATGTATTTGGGCTAGCAAAGTCTTACAAGTCCGAAAGAAGGTACACCAGTAACGGAAAGTTACGATAATCGGACAAACGACTACTTGTATTCAATGCACTTCATCTCTCTACTGTAAGGATTATTTTATTCAGCAGTTTTAACCTGAAGTATATCGAAATTGTTTCTTAGCTGTCTTTGATATTCAACGAAGTGCTCGCAAACTGTTTTAAAGAAGATATGTATAAGAAGAAATCTTCCATTCTACATTGCAGGCTTTAGTGGTTACTCCCACAGAAAATGGAGAATGGCAAACGACCACATGCCAGTTTTGCTGTCAGAAAAGTTTCGCATCCACATTAAAATATTCTCAATATGCACATCGCATTGCATAGGAATAAAGAGTTTCTGAACATCTGTTCACAGCTGAAATGTATTTCACAAATTACAGACAGCTTTAAAACATTAATGTCAATTCAGATGATACGAAAGTAAAGTCATATAATTAAAGTAAATAAATTTATTTAATGTAGTATGGGTTGAGCATTTTAATTAAAGCAAATAAATTTATTATACGTGTGAAGTTTATAAGGTGTTTCTCCCTCCTTTCCGCATGCCTTCGTGTTGTAACGTTAGCGTACTCGGCGCGTTCGAGGAGTCCAGGTTCCGCTGGCGAGGGCATTACATTTTTCACGTCTCCAGCATCAAAAATCCAAATTACTCAATACTGCGCCTGAACTAAAAGGTGGTGGGCGATAATTCGTTACCATTAGAATTTGGTCCCCTTATCCCCAGTCGCCCTTTAAAAAAAGGGGGAGTATATAAGGTAAGTCAGAAGTCAAACAACAAAAATCAGTGTTATATTTTCAAATTTTCACAGGACTAGTTTCGATGGTTTTACCGAACCACCATCCTCAGCTGCAAAAGCGGGGGGGGGGGGAACGATCCGTATGTACATTTTTTTTTTTCGCTTTTGCAGCTGAGGATGGTGGTTCGGTAAAATCATCGAAACTAGTCCTGTGAAAATTTTCAAATATAACGCTGATTTTTGTTGTTTGACTTCTGAATTAGTATTTGTTCGGCGTGTTATTTTGTCTTAAGTATATAAGGTAGTTTCTCCCTCTTTTCCGCATGCCTTCGTGGTGTAACGGTAGCACATTCGGCGCGTATCCGAAAGGTCCAGGTTCGAGTCCCGGCGAGGGCACTGCACCTTTTCCTAGTATCCTGCTTCAAAATAACCTAATGACTCTACAAGTTTGTAATAAATAATAGTGATTAATGCAAGCAGTTACGCATATGTGCAATTGAATATTATTGCTCCACTTTTCCACGTCATAAAATTTCAAGATTTTTGTGTTTTTTGTTGCTGTTATTATTCATTTTAAAGTAATCTTAATATTTTATGCTTCTATCAAAATTTGTGTAGTGCATTCAATTTATTATTCCTAGCGACACTTAAGTGCTTTCAGTTGTTCAATATAATGAAAACCGACAGTAAAATATCCGATAAAATAAGTTTATTACAAATGCTTTTTCCCTGGTTTTTATTAACAATTTTATACTAACGGCACTTTCATATTACTATAATTCATATTACATAGTTTTTACAACTTATTTTCCTGTTGGAAAAGACCATGGAGCTTTGTACTGGTTTTGAATGCAGTTGCAAGGTTGTTGATTATCGTTTTTGCTATGTCCAGCAGCTCCTTGTCTGGATTCAATTAACTTCTGTTCTCTTTGATTGGGATCAGTGTACGGTTTTAATCTATTTCGGTCAGAATTTGGATCATTCTGATTGCTATCATGGTGACATCCAGCGTGATGTGAGTGAGAGCCTATTTCCAAATTCATATGGTAGTAATTAGGTGCACTTTCACAATCTGTACTGTACCAGTAATCACATGCTAAAATTTGCTGGTTGAAAATCGTACCTTTACCACATAGGAAGCTATCTTTTCTGCCATCATGACAAACATGATACACCTGGAAATATATATATATATATTTAATTTACAAAATTAAAAATAATTTAGTAAAAGTGTTAATGTTTCATTATTGGCATGAGAAATTTGATTTAAGTCAAAAAGAACTAAAGTTTTCATGTTTTCTTCCTTTTCTATGCTTCTAAAATGTATAGTAAAAAAATGAGGTCTGGAACTGTGGTAATTTATCGGAATAAAAGAAGAAAGTAATCTCAGATTTTATAGTTTTTCAAGCACTTTCGCTTGCCAATTAAAAAAATGAAAGGCAAATTAGGCACTGTTTTTTTTAAGATTTAAATTAATGATAAGGAAAGCGCATAACTTTTGTCTCACTAATTTCTCTGAAAATCACCAGTGCATCTGTTGACGCTTAATTTGCGCGGCTTCGCCGATTTTTAGGTATGTTTAACTTTTAAATATATTTCACACTTTAAGCAGCACGCATTCATTCTCATTGAATAAAATTGTTAGAAAGGGCATATCAAGAAAACGAAATCTCGTTCTTATGTTCAGTATTCGTCCCCAACAGTTAAATTAGAACTAAAATGACGAACAAAGTTTCATTGCTGTCCTTTCGAGACACCCTATTTCCGAAGCTCAGAGGCTTACTAGTAGGTGCTTCAGGAGAGGCTCTCGGCGGCAGTCATGCAGTTGTCTCAAGAAACATGGGAACCTATAGCACTTTTCTCTATGAAACTCAATAAAAGTCAACAGAAATGTTCCGTGTATGACAGGGAATTATTTTCGATTTATTCTGCATTAATATATTCTGACGCATGTTAGAGGGCAGGAATTTTCAGATTTATGCAGATCAGAAACCGTCAATACATACTTTCTAGCAGAAGCTCCAGAAATGTTCCCTTCGGCTATTATGACATTTAGATTTCATTACCCAGAAATCAATTGGCATTAGGCATGTGCACGGTTCTAAGAACGTCGTTGCCGACGCTTTTTCGAGAATAGAAATTAATTCTATAATACTAGGTAAAGGTAAAAAAATTGAAAACAGTAACCTCAATACCGTATCCTAAGACTGTTCGATCGGTTTGGTTTAATTGAATATGGCAAAGCACCCTACGCCTACCTGCCTAAGAGGAGGGATGCCTTCGTTGAGCGACTTTCTAAAGGAAACAAGCTCGTGTACACGTTACGTATGGGGAAAAGCACGAAAGCGCCCATGCAGCCAGCCTGTTCGTCGAGATTCGAACCCCGGACCGAACTACCTGTGTTTAGCGGCTTTACCGCTCGGCCGCTGGTGCGCCCCTAAGACTGTTCGAACAAGGGTACTAGAAAGTGAAGTCTATGACCCTGAAAGAAAATTCACCGATTTGAAGATGCATTGCATCGGAACTGGGAATGTCATCTGGCACGAAAAATTAAACCATTCATAAAGATTTGAAGTTAAAAAAGATGTTTATACATAGAGTTCATCTGCTTTTGCCAAAGCATATTGCGGAAAGAAAAAGAAATTGTAGAAAATTATATGAAAAACAACTACCTGCTGTTAAATGTAAATTTATGGTAATACTCGATGGGGCATGGGTATACTTAAGTGACTAATAAAAAAAAATATTTTTCTTTCGGCTCAACTGACGAACATGACTTCACGGAACGGCTCCGTTAATATACTCAAAAGTTTCCAACGGGATTCACGATAGTTGCAGGATTTTGTAAAAATAGTAAATTAAAGCTAGAAAAAGATCCCAAGTAAGACTAAAACTAATTCACTGTACTATTAGCAGAGTATTGTAGAACCAATTTTGAAGAAGAAATTCCATTCTTATATGGAAAGGACATCAATAAAGTTGAGCTTCATATGGACAGTATCTCTAATAAGAAGTCGAAGTCAATTGTTGCTTCCTTAGCAAAGAAAGAATCAGAAACAGGAATAAAATGTATCCTATTTAACGAAATACTTGCAAAACCCCCTGTCGCTTCTCCTATAAATTTTTGCGCTTTCGGTTTTTTAAAACGCGCCTTAGGGAAACGGTACACAGAATACTAAACGGACCTTTGGCAAACGACCCAAGAGGAGCGAGATAAAATTGACATGACAATCCAAAGAGAAAGTTTACTTTTATGAAAAATTCGAGCTACTACAGTCACGAATGACTGCCTATATCCTGATGTACGTGTACTTTCTGAAAACCTTCCTTTTAAACTTCACCGCGAGCTCAAATAAACTCTCGAGCGTGCTCGGATTTCTGATTAACAAAAATCTTGGATTTGCGGCAATAACCTAGGCAGAATCATTTGGATGACTTCCGCACTGGGCCTTTTCCCCATGCAATAAATTTACCAATTGTATTTTCCTTAATATAAATTCGGTCAGTTTTTCGACCTTAATCTTGTATCTGCTAAAACATTTCAGCTTTCAGTTTCGCCCTATCATTCACAATGAGGGGCTGCATGGGTGTTTTCGGGGTTTTTCCGATGTGTAACGTGTATACGAGCCAGTTTCCCTTAGAAAGTCCTTCACGAAGGCATCCCTCCTTTATAGCATTCGAGGCTTTGCCGTAATTAAATAACTTAACCTGACCTAACCTTTCACCGTGAGGAATTCTTTTACAAGGACGGTTTTAAACATTTCGAATGTACAATTTTCACTGCCTGGCTCAGCCTCTCAAAATATGGTGTCCGTCGAAAACGTCGCGGCAAAAGCAACGTAAGAACACGTCGTGATACAAAACATCGTGGGAGAAAACATTGCAAAGAGTAAACTTCGCAATTCTAAAACATTGTTGTACAAAATATCATGGTCGAAAATTAAGCGGTTTAAAAACTCCGCAATTTAAAACATCGTCGTCGAAAATATCGTGGTAAGAAATAAAATACTTACAAATTAACGCATGACGATAACATCGCACTCACGCGTTTTCAGGTTTTGAAAGTAGTAAATACGTGTTCTTACAAAGATAATTGAGCGCAAGAAGGAATGAGGAATATGTCATATATTTGAAAGAACTAATAAAATTTTCTGAAAACATAAGAAGGAAACTTAAGCATTTAAAAATTGAAAATAAGTAGAAAATTAGTGCAACTTATAAAGCTTAGTAGGATTTTAAATTTATATAGTTAATTAACTAAGGTCATTAATAAACTAAACTTTTTTTATAAAGTTTAACTGATAATATTTCATGAAAAATACGGTCTAAAAATGCTTAGAAAAAGGAAGATAAATAACTGCATGAGGTTACCTCTATAAAAATTGCTTAGTTAATGATCAAATTATTTTTCTTTCACATTTGTTAGTCTGATATTGTTTTAATGAAAATTACATATTGTTGCTTCCGTTTATTCTTAAAGTGTCGTTAACATTTCCATGTACTGCATGCAATCAATTTTTTGGATGTCTATTTGTTTTTTTATGACAAAATTCAGTTACATAATATATAACTATGCGACTCGAAAAATGCATGTATGCGATGTTATAGTCATGCGATGATTTGTAGGTACTTTATTTTTTACCGCGATATTTTCGTCGACTATATTTTTAAACTGCGAAGTTTTTGAACCGCTTTATTTTCGACCACGATATTTTAGAACTGCGATCTTTTCTCTTTGGGATGTTTTGTACGACGACATTTTCTTCTTGCGTTGTTTTCTCCGCGACGTTTTCGTCCGCAAAGTTTTTGCCGCGGTGTTTTCAGGTGTAATCCAAAAAATTATCGATTCCTTTGCACCAGCTCAGTGTCAGTCCTTGAAGTGCGACGGTTATTATGGTGACCTTTTTTATTTCTCCTACCAGGTAAAGCAACAAATGCAAGTCCAGTTGTTTCAAAAATGCGATTACAAAAATTCTGCCGTCAAAAGTCACTGCGGCTTTCATAGACGCTCGCATCGTATCCAAGATGTATCCAGATCCCTCCTTGGCGTTTACTGGTGCCACTGGAGCCTACGATGTTGAGGGGGGGGCCATATTAAACATTGAATTTCTTCAGACACAGTCCGAGATTTGGTTTGGGCGCCGTTTTAAAGTTTGGTGGTTTTCTTTGCTATCATGAACTGGAACCAAGCTCTAGATAGACTGACAGAGAATTATCGCTATGTCTAAAACAACAACTGAACCTTAAGGAGGGTGTAAACCTTAAGGAGGTAAAAGACCCTTTATTAAAAACCAAAGAAAAACAAGAGCCACACCTGATACTTACAACTCAGCCAGCACTTATGGCGAGATAACTTAAAATAACAGTAAGTTCAAAGGCAAAATTTTAATTTAAATAAGCTGTTATCCGAAGGTTACACAAATCAGTTTAACGCGAAATTGACTCAAAACGTAATCGGCGTAGATATTGGCAAGTAGAATGCAAGGCCCAACACTAAAAATCTTATCTGAGCTAGCCGCAACGCCGTGGCCTCGAGAGGAAGAACATGCTCTGCTTTAAAATCCAAAAACCTCATCCTAAAATACACGAGAGCTAATTTTCATTCTGGAGTGAAGAAGTGAAAGTAAAGCTTTAAATCATAGTAACTGGTTAATTAAAATAATAAAATCCCTACAGATTGAAAGTATCTAATGTAAAGAATGACCAGAATTATAAAATTAGGCAAAAATTATATCGACATGTAGTTCTACGACTTTATATTATTTAAAGCAGAGAATTGTGCAGATATTTTTTAATCATCGGGAAGGGTACAAGCCAATTTAAAGCCTGAAATGCTTTTAAATCATTAAAAATGTAATTATAACTATTTAGTTAAAATAAAAAGCTTAATAAAGGTTTGCTTCAAAATATTCTCCCTCCGTGATCAGTTTAATTTAGATTATGATAAAACGTGCGAAGGCTGTCGTCTTAAGTCAAAGAGATGATTTCTTAAGAAGATATACTATTAAGAGAAACTGACTCGCATTCGCATCACACATGAGGAAACGAAAATTATCCAGGCACATAATACGTTTGATGGGATTTGATCCCAGGCAGAGTTATCACTGATTTTACCTCTCAGCCGTTGGTAAGCCTTCTTTATGATCAAAGAAAATATAAATACATGCGCTGTTAGAATGAAAACGACTGAAGAAATTATTATTATTCCTAAGTACAATTGAAAAACTTTGGAATAATGTAAATCTTTACATTAGTTTTAGAAACTATGATTGAATTCCAAAAGTAAAGAGTTCTGAGAGAGAGTTTTAGTGGCAAACGATGTTTCATGTCTTATACTTTTCAAATCGGAAGTACACTCATGTCCATAAATTAAGGATAATTCGGAGTCACGCGGAAATCGAACTCTAAAATAAATATATCACCTGTAAAATCACTACACACATCTTCAAGAATCATATGCAAATTTCAGGAAGTAAACAAATGATACCGATGGTACGTCACAATGACGAGTGTTAAGGGAGTGATATATCAGGAATACAGGCAAAGAAGTAAAATTGTTCGCAGGTGCTTTATAAGCATTTCAGTGCAATAACCGAATAGTTATGACAAAAGGACGCATTTGGATGATTTTTTACGTGTTAGAATTATCGGCCGTCTGGAATGTGGGCGTACCCAAATGGAAGTATCAGACGAACTTGGAATTGCCCAGAGTGTCATCTCCAGGCTTTGGCAACGATTCCAAGATGATGGTAATGTGAGTAGACGTTATAGCACAGGTCGCCCCAGAGTTACAACGCCGAATGAGGACCGGTATTTGGCCGTTACTGCCAAAAGAAACAGGCGGAGCACAGCCTCAGACCTGTCTCGTCAGCTCTCTTCAGCCACTGGTACGACAATTTCAAGGCAGACCGTGTACAGACGCTTAGGACAGATTGGTCTATATGCTCGTAGACCTGTCAGATGCGTTCCACTTACTGCAACTCACTGTCGCCTGCAGTTAGTCTGGAGTAGAGAGCATGCATTGTGGACACCGCAACAGTGGGCTTGTGTGATGTTTTCCGACGAGTCCAGGTTTAGCTTGCAGTCTGATTCTCGCCGGACTTTCATATGGAGAGCTCCAGGTACCCGTTACCACCAAGAAAACATCATTGAACGACACCGTTACGGTGGTGCAGGAGTGCTCGTTTGGAGTGGAATTATTCTGCGTTCCAGAACTGACCTGCACGTTCAAATTGGAACCATGACAAGCCAAATCTATCGGGACGTCATTCTGGAACAACATGTACGTTTGTTTCGAGGCGCCATGGGCGCACAATTTGTGTTTATGGATGACAACGCCCGTCCTCACCGTGCAAACATCGTAAGCGAATGCCTTCAATCGGAGGATATCACCCGTATGGACTAGCGAGCATTCTCACCGGACTTGAATCCAGTAGAGCACGTGTGGGTCATGCTTGGCCGACGAGTTGCAGCCCGTCAACCTCCTCCTACATGTCTACCTGAACTTCGGAGAGCATTCCTTTTTGAGTGGTGTAATATGCCCCAAGATCAGATCAATTTGATACTCAGCATGCGTAGGCGTTGTACGGACTGTATCGTCTGGGAGACATGCAATGTATTAACAATCATACAAACCATAAAATATTGTTTTTTTGTAAATAGGTCTTTTTTGTAATTTGCTCCAGGGAGAAGAAGTCGCTAATTTTTTTAATAATATCAAACATATAGCATCTTTTTTTGCTCTTTACCTTTTGTTTAATAAATAAGTCAAATTTGTTTTGTTTCTAACTCTTCCTTTGCCTGATTTTGCATTATCCTTAATTTATGAACATGAGTGTATTTGTTATAATGCAGGTAAACTGTAATTATCCCGTATCGTATATTCGGAACTCAGCTATCGGAATAGATTATTTTCATTCCTTTTCCATCTTTTCTTTTTTCTTTCTCTTCTTTTAAAGTAAAATTAAGTAATACTAAATATTAATGTTAATTAACATTTAATGAATTAAATTAAGTATTGCAAATTTAGTATTGTTGATGCAAATTTCCTTTTAAAATTAAATTAAACATGTAAATAAGTTGCTTATTAATTTATGAAATTAATATTTTAAATTAAGTTGTTAATTAATTGCTTAGTTTTTACCGTTTTCATTGATCTAAATTATATGGAAAAATAAAGTAAAATAAAATAATTTTAAAGAAATTATTAAATTTATTTAGATGAATATATACGGCGTGTAAATTACCCTAAATGGTTTGGCCTCTGAGCATGAATGTCACATATAGGCTTACAATTCTTTTCTTGCTCCTTGAATCATTTTAGGTAGTCGTAGTAAAGCTTCTGTTTTGAAAGTAGACTGAACGTGGCGACGCTAAATTTTCTCTACCAAAGAGTCCCCCACCTTTCACAATTTGCAGTGTAGTTGTAGTCAATTACTAGCGTTTTGGTATAAGTCAAGTGTTTCGGTTGGCACTTTTAAAATCTTGAGACAAAAGTGTTATTCTTCTTGTTTGAGAAGTACTATAGTTTATACAACTATGCGTTTTTAAATTATAATATTACCTTTATTGAAGTAATCTTAAAAATTCCTTCTCTCACGTTTAAGTTAAAATTTACTAATAAGTAATTTTATTTCTATAATTTAAGCGAAATACTTAATTATTTTATTGTTATGATAAACCAAACGCGTTATTTCTGTAAGAAGCCAAATACGTTATTATTGTACTTGGCCAATTCCGCTGTTAATGTAACGCATTACGTTACTAAAATTACAAATAACGCATTATTGCAGTTTCGGAGTCTTACCGCAGTGAAAAATGTAAAAATATTTTGTTAAAATATGTCGAGGATATGATATATATATATCTAAGAATATAGAACGGTTCGGTAGGTTATACGTAAAATTTTAAGCATTTTTATCGACATATTATAATTGCACTATTATCATAGTTCACTCTATGAAATCTACTTTCAATTCCATTCATGTAAATAGTATTTAAATTTTAGTCTCGAAACTCTACAGAAAAATGGGCTTGCAGTTTTGACTTAAATTCTGAATTGACTTGAATTCTGAAGCATAAATTGAAATTGTGGAGAATTGTATATATTGTGTTTTCGTTTTAAGCTGCTTAAAATATCAACTTAAACTTTACCTCTTTTGGATAAGTAACATTGCCGTGTTGGTGAATTTACAATATTTAAGTGCAAGAAGAAACTAACCTGGCACTGCGCTTCCACATCTGCGTAAAGTCCACCTTCATAAATTTGATCTTCACAGCGAAAATTAGTTGTGGGTATAGTTTTGAGGTCAGGATAATCTACCCCTGCGGTACCACGAAACATGTTGCTCAAGTCTCCAGTAGTGTCATCCCATCTCTTTCGCTGTGAGAGAAAACATTGTTAAACAATTATTCATAATAAAATAACATATAATAATACAGTAGATTCTTCATTTCACAAACTCATGTGGACTATACAAATGGTTATAAAATCAAAAAATCATAAAAAAGTTATTAGAGAAACAATAAATCATATCGGATCAACATTGTAATTCATAAATTAGAGGCTCCAATTTGCAGTTGTTACTCCTTTTATAATTATTTTCGATTCTTAGAGTCATACTGTGCAATTAACTTTATAAAGAAGATGTAGTATAAGTCGTTACAAAAAAGTAGATTTTAGAGGATTTTCTGGAGAAAAAAAACTGACTTTTCAAGTACACTTAGAGTACTAGAAAAATGATATACTTAACAGAAGAAGGAATTAGAATCAGAGGCCCGCCCCTTGTTTATCAAAACATTCAGTGGCTTACCATTAAAACCTGTGTAACGAAGTACATGTACCCTTCTCTTCATAGTTAGAAATAATAAAGCGTTATTTTCACCCTTCTTCTGTGCTGGTATTACTTCACGCCTGTGCGAGAATTCGCCAGGTTCATTTGTAGGATCTAGAATAGTTTATGTGGACAAAAAGAGATAGATCTTATAAATTTAGTTCTCGATTAAGAGCCAATTTAGAGAAGTAAACCTGAAGTGCACGGGAAACGAAAGAATAAAATGAAACTAGCTTCGCTTTAGTCGAATGACATGATTTGAAGTGTGGTGGAAGGCAAACAGATGAAGATTTACGGTATTCAGTAGTACTGAATTTGGAAATGTTGTGTGTGAGACCTAGATGTCGAGGAACGGAAGAGGATGGGGTGCCTCAAGTTCGAAAGGGAATTGTTTAACACTAACATATGCTATGTTTTACGATATAATGTGATCCTTAAAGACCCTTCACCTTTGGACCTCTCAAAAATAAAAACTGCAATTAAATTTTCACAAATCCTTTAGAGCCACTTAAAAAAACTGCTTATCCCATCTGTTGCGAAGTTTGGCCAAATTATAGGCTTTACCCAAATTATTCCATCCCGCTCTATTGTATCAAACTCAGACGGTTAGGGTAAATATTAGATGGCCCCTTCACTTCTACATAACATAAAATAACATATCAAACTTAGACACTGACTCGTTAGTTAAATAATTAGTTTCTAGATTTTTGACTTAGTTAGTTAATAACACTTAAACCGTAAAAAATTTAACAGAGTTTATAAAAAAAAGTAAAAAGCATTTCCCCTAGAAATTTCATCATAGTTTCGTTTGATGTAAAATCATTATTAACCAGTGTTTCACTGGAAGTTGCTGTAAGATGTCCAGAAATGAGGTTTCGAGAATTTCATTTCTCCTGTATCGAAATTGATGAGTTAATTTCCCTCATTCAACTCTCTAAAAACACATTTTGTTTTTTAAAATGAGTATTACAATAAACCGAGAGATTAGCCGTGGGAAGTCCTCTTAGTCCTATCTTTGCTGATATCTATATGCATTATTATGAATAAAAATTATTTAAAATTTTAAACTTCTTTGTGTGGTTCCATTACGTTGAGGATAACTTTACACTGTTTGGCAGCAATACAGATGACTTAAATAAATTCCTTTAAATAAAAAATTCCATCGATCCTGCTACTTTTTGAACAACAGACACCCATTTTTCTTCTGTTCCTCGACATCTTGGTCATATGTAATATTTCCAACTTCAGTACCACTGATTACCGTAAATCTTCATCTGTTTGCCTTCCACCACACTTCAAATCATATCATTCGACTAAAAAGAAGCTAGCTTCATTTTATTCTTTCGTTTTCCGTGCACATCAGGCTTTCTCCTCCAAATCGGCTCTTGATCGAGAACTAAATTACTTAAAAGCAGTTGCTATTGACAGAGGCTTTTCATCTAATATTATTGATCAAGCAGTTAAAATATTCTGATCTCAACCCATCAAAAAGGGACTCTCTTGTTTTAGGAGATTATAAGAATTCTGTTGTCATTACGTTTTTTCCATCTATTAGCTATAAAATTGTACATATTTTGAAGAAATTCAATTTTCGAGTCGTGTACTATTCTGCTAATAAAACACGCAGTTCCATGCTTAAGGATCCCATTTTGGATGTGAACTCCTGGGATATACACAGGATTCCTTGCCGATGAGGTCTAATTTAAATTGGCCACATTAAGACAAACTTACAATTTCGCACTAAGGAACATGAGACATACGTGAGAAAAAAAAGAAATACATAAATCCCCTATTATCCAATACTGTTGGTCAGAAAATCACATTTCCCATTTTTCTGCAGCCAAAACTATTAAAAATTCTTCTGTAGACAAATTAAACTTCCTAGAGACGTTTCACATTCATAAAAATCTTTCAGTTCTACTTACGATTTCAATTCCAATCAGTCTTTACTCTCAGCTTTTAAGGAAATTATTTTGTAGTTATTTTCATTTTTCATCAATAGATAGCGTTAGTAGCTTGACTTTCTTGGACTGTTTCTTATCGCTGGCTTCTCTTCCGTCATTTATCCTTCTGCAGCTGAAGAAGCAGGTTCTATATTAAACCTTCTTGGATTTGGACTTGGATGCTGGTATTTAGGCTGGCATACAGCTAAAAGTTAGCTTCTTCCAGCTCCTTAAAGATTCCTAGGAAGGGCATGACGAAATTGGAGAAACCTGAGTGAAGTTTTCTTGAAGAAAAGGTCGCAAAATAGAAGAAAAGAGGCAACCTTATCCTCCGTGGAAAGCAACATCTGATAAGTACTAATAAGCAGACGGTAGAGGTGGCGTCATCTAATGGTGGTGAAATTATCTGAGCTGGTGAGAGAAAACATATAGAGGGCAAAATAATGTAATAAGTCAGCAAATATGTACAAGATGCAAAATTCCAAAATAAGAGTACGTAAAAAATATACAAGTTCCTATCTGAAGCAGAATAAATAAAATAAGTCCATACTGGTGGGAATCCTACACAAGCAGCGCAGTGTAGGTCAGAGGCAGTTAAAAATATGTAGAACTTAAAATATACTACTAAAAATTTAAGAATAGATTAAAAATTTGCCGAAATACATGTAGAGACATTAAATATTTTTTTTGGAAGTAGGAAGATGAGAAATATGCAACGCTTTCGCCAGGAATCGAACCGCGGACCTCTCAATTATGCGCTGAGTGTGCTGACCACTACACCAGGAAGGCTCGCTAAGAAGGAGGGAGAAATACCTTATATACAAGTAGAAGACAGCCTATTTCAGTAGAACAGCGGGAAACGTAATTTACGACAGACAATAAACGGAGTTAATGAAGCACAGTAACTGACTAGTAATTTTCGATTCTGAGCTGGTGAGCTGCAAAAGTCTTGATAAGATCATCCATGAGAATCTCATAATTAAGGTGCTCCGAGAAATTTGCTACAGGGCAGGCTGCAGATTTGCTAAAAAATGCGTCGTTCAGTTTGTTAAGATAATCTTGAACGTATTCAATTTTTAAGTCCCTGTGCAAAGAATTGTTTCTGACAAAGTATGGAGCTTCAGTAATGATGCGCAGTAATTTATTTTGAATAACTTGAAGATGTTTGATGTCATTAGCTGTGGCATGGGCCCAGGCGGGAGAAGCGTGGGAAAAATAGGACGGATGATGGACGTGTAAATTCTTCTTTTTCTTTGTAGACTGAGTCTTGTGGTGCTCGAAAGGGGGGAATTAAGTTTGAACATGATTTGCAGTGTTTCTCCTTTAACGTTCCTGATATGGTTTGACCATGTGAAGATAGATTTTAGTGTAATCCCCAGATATTTGGCGGTGTCAACGGGATGTCAGTATTGAAGAGAGTGATCCGGGAGGTGATGGGGTCAAATCTTTTGAATTTCCTGATGAGAAACACTTCGGATTGGGCTGGATTTATGTTTATCTTCCACTTACGATATCAGTCTTCAATGGCGGGGATTTTGTTCTAAATCTGTGAGATGGCATGATTAGGGAGCCTAGATCTGGTGAGAATCGCCGTATCATTGGCGTAACAGGCAAGAAGCATATTGTTGTCATCTCGTAGACTGGGGAAGTCGTTAGCATAGATAATATACAAAATAGGTCCTAAAATACTTCCTTGTGAAATTCCCGCTGAGATAACTTTCGGGGAAGAATAGGTGTTGCCGTGTCGTACGATAAAAGTCCTGTTATCCAGGAAGGACTTGAGTATCAGGATCAGCTCACTAGGTAGGTTCATTATAATAAGCTTGTAGATGAGTCCCTCATACCAGACGCTGTCAAATGCTTTGGCCGCATCTAGCATGAGGACCGCAACACTGAGCTTGTTGGGCAAGGAGGCATCCACAAATTCACCAATTCTGGTTAACTGCTTCGTAGTTGAGAGTCCATTAAACCTTCGAAGCTAGTCCTGCAAATTTATGAATATTACGCTAATCACTTGTTGCTTTAACTCCTCCACTAATACTCCTATGTATTTAAAACTTTTCCTTTTTCGACATGTGAAAATCTTTATTTTCTGTGCATTTAGTATACGTTTCTAATCAGGTAATTTATAGTCGCTTAGGATAAATCTGAATTTTTAAGTAAGAAGTATGTGTAAATTGAATAAAGATTACTTGCAATTTTTAAGGTAATATTATTAAAAATATACTTTTAATTTATCTTTCTTATTTATTTTTGCTTCAACTGACCCATTGTCCAAGCGATTAAAGACTTCTGAATTTCTTGTAGTTCGAACGCAGAGAAATGAGCTAGCTGAATAGTTGATTTTTGAGAGTCCTCCACGTATAATCCTCATATGCTTGGCCACATGCAAATAACCAAACCATCTTTCTGATATCATAGATGCCGTTTGCTGTTTTTGCCATTCTTGCCAATTTTAAATATTTAACCATTTATACCCTTTCTCATAAACTTTGGCAAACAACTATTAACTCTATTAATAGACTATCGTAGATGACTTACTGTTTTACTTACTAAGTAAACGCCTTTTTTCTTTTCTGGCATAATATTAATAAGCTATTGATTTTATATCAAATTTTTTTCTGGACAAAAGATACACGTTTTATTTCTGAAATAAAGGATTCAGTTCCCTTCGTTATAAATTTCCAGCTAAAAGTACTCTGTATTCTGTACGTTTGTGAACGCGGTATTTTATGTAAAATGTTTGGAACACTTTTACTTCATCCTTCTTCATTGAAAATGTCGTAATAAATTTTAGACATTCTAAACTACTAGAAAATATATATGAATTTCGTGACATTAAATATCATTTTAATATTGGCAGTAATTTAAACGAAAATAACGGAATGTCTGAAACATTTTATACCGCCTCTTATGTTTGAATAAATTTTAATTGTTTTTAAATATATAAAATTATGAACGCTATGATTTTTGATTAATGATAATGCAAGTCGCATCTTAATAGCAAATTTCATTAAATGAGGATGTCTCAAGAACAATTATAAAGTTTCCTCAATTACCCAAATGCATTTCGTGCATTTTTCTTTATTATCTTTTAAAACTACTTAAATTTGTTAAATAATTCATGCAACAAAAGTGAGTTTTCAGTAGTAATATAATTTTTCGTTCCATTTTGTTTTATCTGAGGTTTTCTTGTACCTATTTTTGTTCATTTTTCTTTCACTTTACTCCTACATTTTTCAATTAAAAGTTAACAGACATATAAAACAATTATTCATTTATTTCACACATAGGTTCAAAGGTTTTTAAGACTAAGAATCTTCCGATTCTTAAGTTCCAAAGCAGCGGTCAAAATAACCGGCTGTGGATGTAAACAAATGTGTCGCACCCCTTAGACTATCAAAAGCTCAAAAGAACTGGGTCAACAGCGGAGGTGGTGTATTTAATTATGGCAAAGCACACTAGGGCTATCTGCCTAAGGGAAGGAATGCCTTCGTGGAGGACTTTTTAAGTCAACAGCGGAGGAAAAAGGCGTCTCTTTTTGTTCCTTTCTTCCATGGGTATACCAGTCTTATACTTAGTAAGTTCTCACTAGAGCCTATAGATGTAGTAATAAAACAGGGCATTATATTCACGAATTTGGAAAAACATTCTCTGGCAGTAGACATCATAGTGCCTCAAAAGCAATTCTATTCTAGTCTGAAATATAAGCGTTCCACACCGCTTATTTACGCTATTAAAATTTTAATTGCGAAGTACAAGAAAACTTATAAAGCTGACTTTACAGGAGAATGCAATTAACGATCAGTTTGAAACGAAAGAATAATAGTGCTATTTTTTTTTAATAATAGAAATGCTTTCGGGTTTTTGTATCTATAATTACTGAAAATTATTGCAGCAGCCAAGAACTTTCGACGTAACACTTCAAAATGAAACAGTGTATTGGATCTTCGTTTTACTAGATCAAATTTATTTCAAGCTTTAAAATAATTAGCAACAAATATTTTGTATTACAATATTACAGTACTTACTCTAACATGTCCGGAATGGATAGAAGTTCCAAATGCTCCATCTGCAAGCGAAAATTAAGACTTAAATGAGAAGACAGACACATTTCTAAATACTTTGCAATTTTAAATTTCCCGTCTTTTCTTAACAAATTTTATACGACTAATGTACGAAGTTTCCGCGTTTAATTTTCAAAACGCTCTGCAACTTTAAACTACTATGGAGCAAAGCAGAGATGTCTATCGTCTTACAGTGCTCGTCGAAATTAAATCAACGCAGTTAGGTTTGGTTTGGTTTATTTAATTAGGGCAAAGCACACTAGGGCTATCTGCCTAAGGGGCGAGATGCCTTCGTGGAGGACTTTCTAAGAGAAACTGGCTCGTAAACACGTCACACCACATGGGGAAACCTCGAAAATCCTCCGTACATCTTTAACAGCTCAACGATATGTTGATACCATCCTGCGGCCGGTTGCATTACTTTTCATGGCACGTCATCCTGGGGCTATTTTCCAACAAGATAATGCCAGACCACATACAGCTCGCATATCTCTGGACTGTCTCCGTGCGGCTGATACGCTTCCTTGGCCAGCAAGGTCACCAGACCTTTCACCAATCGAGTTTGCTTGGGGCATGGTAGGCCGCGAGATTCGAGCACCACAAAATATCGCAGATTCAGAGCGAGAACTGATGAATGCCTGGCAGAATGTGTCGCACGATGACATTAGGAACTTCTACCACTCCTTGCCTCTACAAATTCAAGCATGCATTGCCACCAGGGGCTCTTCAACCAACTACTAATTTGAACACTCAATGGGTGATTGTGAGCCGTGAACAGGCACTATGACCTTGATTTTTAATGGTTTTATTATCTCTGTATGAGCTATACACATGTTCAATTTCATCAAAAACAACCACTTCCTTCATGGTGCTTCGATTTTTTTTTTGCAAAAGAGTGTATTTTAGGTATTGATTTTAGACTCAAAATGATAAGTTACGACCAGACCACCAAACTGTATTTCAAAGAACTGCGTAAAGTTATGAGCATCTGTCCAAATAAGCAGACCTGTGTCTAAAGCTTTTAACACAGGATATATTACGTTGGAAATAGTTCCAATTCAATGTATATTACATCTGTATGCTGAGATAATTCAGAATTACACACATTATAACCTTCGATGAGTTTGTCACCTTATACCACAGAAAGTAGTAGTTTTACTTCTCAAACCAAATTTGCTTTTTCAGAAGTTTCTATTAATTCACTCGATATTTGCTATTTTATTTTGCGAGAAAATTTATTTATAAAAGTACTTTTAAAGAGATGATTAAAGTGAATTGAAAAGAGCCAAAGTAAATAAAAATTCGTTTCATTATCAAAAGGGTTGTAGCTATTTCTGATGCTTAGAACTCTCGACGATGGAGTTTCACTTTTCCTTATTATTCACACGTTACTATGTTAACAGTGCTTCAGCCGCCAGTAAGAACATAATTTATATGTGGAGTCATTGGGTTTATCGAATCAGGAAGTACGAAAAGTCAGCTATGTCCTATCCGGGACTCAAATTCCGGATCTTCCAGCTGCTAGCCAGTCATATTTCCAATTACACCATACAGAGACTTAATAAAGAAGACGAAAATTCCTTACCAAAACTAAATTTTATATTATATTAGAATTCAGACAGTATGTATTTTGGTTTTTAAGCTAATAAATTAAATTATAAACTAACATTAAATTAACGCCCGTAACAACATAACCAGTAAGACCATTTTATATATTGGCATGTTCATAGAAAATAAAAGATAATGACAAAAGGTGACAAATAATCAAACAATGATTAAAAATATAAAGCTTAATACGTTTTGATAGGAAATCTAGTCAAAACGTAATATTACTGTATAAATAAATTATTATATCCTGTAGCTAAAAATAATAAAAAAATAGTAAAATAACATATAATTACAGATATACAAATTAAATAATGAAAATAATTTTAAATGTGTAATTAAGTTATCCTTTTGTAAATATTAAAATTTTATCACAAAAGAAACCAGTACTCACATGAAATGAAAATTATTCCAATTAAGAGGTATTCTGTCGTCATGATCATTTTCTTCTTATCTAAGAATAATAAAGCATTATGAATCACCAACGTTATTATTTTTCTTTAATTTGTAACTGCTTTCTTTGCACACTAAAATAACTGATACTTAACGTTATAAATCTATAATTGAGGATTATATATTAGATGCTTGCATAAGCTGGCCGAATTGCTGAAAACTGTTGCAAATTAATAAACATAAAACATTCATAATTAAAAAATCTATGTTAAAAAACATTGTTTTATAAATCTACGAAAATACTTAGTTATTTATATTAAAATTTATCTATATTATCACAGCAAAATAATCTGATTTTTATTTACATTAAATCTTGCCGAATATGGAGGTTACGTGATCAATGCATTGCGCGTACGGCAAAATCGCGTTCCACAAAGTTAACTTCCCGTGGGAAAATGTGTTAGATACAATTCAGATTCAGAAAAAATGTATAATTTAAACAAACCTATATATTATTGTAATTAAAAGTAGAAACGAGATAAATGTCAATTAAAAGGATTTTTATTGCTGTTTAATAAGTACCCGAGACAATTAGCTTTTAGAAAAGCTGGTGATTTTTTGTCTAGGATAGTGATTGATGCAACTCTTTCAAAGTTTCGAGGTGAGAAGGCACCTCGAAACCCAAATATCTTAAACAAATCGTTGAAAAAGGCAGCAGATTCAGATATTTCCTTGCCTTTTTCAACAATTTGTTTAAGTTATTGGAAGTTAAAGACGTTTTATCTCATTCACTACCACTGTTTTCACTGTCGTGTGTTGTTATAATATCATCCAATTCTTCATTCGTCATTCTCGATTAATTCTTTGACTTCTCTTGTATCTGAAAGTCCTATCTTGCCAATTACTTTTGCAAGTTATACGATTTTTAGTTCGATAGAAATCTTTTTAAATTGATGGTAGCTTCCGGTTAGAGTTGATGCCAACAGGCATTTAGAGTTGATGAATAAGCGCTGATCCACGTATGAATAAAATTCTAGCTTTGGATAAATACAGTGGTTAACATTTATTTTCTGAAACATGTATTTTTTCATTTTATTCGCAAATGTCAGTTACTAAATATTAGCAAAATATCTTTATTTTTTTTCACATATACTATTCTCCTCTATTTTAAATCTTGCTTGTTTTGAAAGAGTTTTGATTTAAAAACTTTGATTTAAAAAAAGCTTTGATTTAAAAAAATAGTTTATTAAAAACGTTCTGAAAATTAACTCACATAAGTATTCTGACACTTTTGAATAAACAGTTTATATTTAATAAAAACTTGAAAATAACGATACCCTCGATGTTCCTGTGCCTTTTGCGATGTTTCGTTGGCTATCATTAAGCCAAAAATTACAGTTTTAACATGAATCCAGCTTTTTTTTTTTCCCTAAGAATGTTACATTTGTTCCATTCTTATTTGAGAATTGCTTTCAGTAGAACTTTCGAAGAAGTATCATATTTCCTTATTCTTTTCTCCAACTCACTTCTACAGGGTTTAAGTCCGGACAATATGGAGAAGTTATTATAACTTCAGAATAGATGTATGATAACCACAAGCGATCATTTAGGGCTGTGCGTTTAGGATAGTTATACAGTTAGAACTTGAGAACACATTTTGCATTTTAAGTTTTCTTGCTGGTTTCTTTTCAGGTTTTCATGAAGAACATTTGTATATTTATACTAATACGTATTATTTTCTATAAATACTAAATTTCTTGTTTCAAAGGCAGTGAAACATCCGTAAGCCATTATGCCTCTACCTCCGTGCATAACACTCGGCAATATTCGAATTCAGTTCTTAATTCGGATTTTGCCACATATTAATTCATGTATCCGATCCAAATCTGTAAAATTTTGAATTTTCTTCAAATTGAACATTGCTACAATATGACAAAACTTTACTTACTACAGATTTTGCCAACACCAGTTTATTTTCCTTGTTTTCTTGTTGAAAAGAATTTCCTTCTTGCAGGTAGCCTTAGTATCCATGTGCCTTAAATGACACTTCTTAAAGCTTCAGAGTTAACTTTTATTGCAAACCTTTCTACTAAATCTGTTGAACATTTTGTAGTACTAATTTTTGGGTCTTGTTTGATTTTTTTGAAGAATAAACTTGCAATTCCTTGCTGTAATTTGGAATATGGTTTTAGACTTCAGTGCAATTTCAATTGTTCCATCCAATTTCTGTCATTTTATTTCATCAAAGATAGCTGAACTCTTTACATCAAGGGTTTTTTGGGTATTTAAAATACTTTTACTATCCCTGAAAAGATGAATTTATTAAATTTCTAACAGATCTGATCTTTAAATTGTAGTGTCTTACAAGGCTTATTTCAGATAGGGAACTGATTGAAAATTTTTTGCCATAAATTTTTATTTAAAAAAAAAAAAAGGCAAGAAACATTGTCCACTGAAGCATTTCAATAAAAGTTGAGAGTGTCCTAATTATTATGTTAATTACTGATTAACACCTTTTGAACAAATGATTTTATTGATTGCAAGGAATATTTTGAAAATACTTATTTTTCAACAAACAAGGCTTAATATAGAGAAAAAAATTTGAAATCTGTGTTTCAATGTTTAGTACAAGAACTAGGCAAATAAGTTAAAAAACTACAAGTATCCAAATTCAAGTAAAACGGAAACAACTAAGAGGACACGTACAGGTGAAATCCCGTTTCGTAAACCCGCGCTTGGCGGGGGTTTACTGTACTATAAGTAAAAATGGAACTGATTAATTGCATCCACGCCACAGAATTATACTTATTTGTTTTAAAAAAGACCATTTCAGGAACAAAAGGGATTAGTTATGAAATTAATAGAAAGAAGGCTGTGTTCAGCAGTTTTTGTAGGAATTGGTTTAAAAGGTTTCAAAGTAGCGAAACTGAAGTTAACAACAAACTGTATTAACATGTTTCAAAAAGACTAGAAAAATCTGAAAGAGAAATGTTATTTATAAAAATACTTTTTTGGAACACAAACCCACTTCAAATGCTGGAGGACTTGTAGAATTTTATTACCTTGAATTGAATAAGTCTATTAAAAATCCTACGAAATTTCGTGATTCCTTAATAAAAATAGAGCAAACTGCTTGATGTAAAGAATTGTATTGCAAGATTTCTCTACCTTCTGATTTCATTTCAAAATTAGATTAATTTTAGAACGAAGTCAGACTAATTTAATTAAAATTAGATTATTTTTATACTATATTAATTTTCTTTAATTAAATTTCTCAAAAATGTTTTTAATATGATTAAGTTTCATATTAATGTAATCGAATTATGTCAAAATTTTAAGTTTGTTATTTAAAGATTTCAGATGTTACAAGTACAGAGTTACTTTTCTGAAGAGGTGAGCTGGAACAATATGTTTTATAAAGTGAGCTGTAATAATATGTTTTAGAAATTACATAAAGAAAGTTCTTTCCACTTACCTGTCCGTTAGAACCAAACGCGAAGACACATCTGTTGGTTTATTTACAATGTTTAAAGTATTAAAAAGTGCTAAGCGAACCGGTCGTCTTGGGTTTTTTCGAAAGGTCACGGACTCGACCCTGGCATCTGAAGATATCGTCATCATCTTTTTTTCTCTCCATAATCTTAGAAGTGAAAGGGAAAGGAAAACATTTAACATCCTTTCTGCCTGATGTACCGAAACCGCAACTTTCCTTTCGAAATCCGGAAAGCTATTATTTTGTTCAATTATCCATTTCAGTTAATTCTTCTCTCCAGAATTTGGTAGTATTTGAGGAATCGTCTCGTTTCGAATTAGAAATTTAAAAAATGATTTGAGTTCAGTCCTTTTAACTTGCTCATTATTCACTTTAATGGAAAATATTACACAGATTATTTCATGAAATTTGTGCATAATAGACTAAACAAAAGATCTTTCACAAGGCAAAAAATTTTTATCTTCGAAATTCTTCTGTTTGCATGAGAATTAAACAGTCGTAGCGAAAATGACAGCGAATATATGTACAGATCTGATCAAAGTATATTTGGATAAGCTTTTGATTAAGGTTATAAGTTTTATGGTGTGAAATTAATTTTAAACTGAAGATGCAGCCTTGTGGCTTACTGCAGAGTTCTCCGAATTGGTTCGTGAGTATCGTCCTTACAGCCATGCTAAAATCAGGTACATACTTTCTTATCTCTTCCCGGTGAGTTGCATACTTAAATGTTAAAAAAACGAACTAAAACGACTGAGTTATTGTTACAAAAAATACAGCATGATGCTACTTTTCTTAGATGCTAGGACTCAAATCACTTACATCAAGATCTTCAATTCAAAACTACGACACTTCATACGCTACACTATCTCTAAATTTATAAAACACTTTTGCTGGTAGAAGAATTAACCGATCTTTATTCACTTATAATACAGAACAAAAATATACTCGGTAGAGTCTTTAGGTTATTTTGAAGCAAGAGACTTGAAAAATGTGCAATGCCCTCGTCGGGGCTCGAAACCTGGACCCTATCGAATACGCATCGAGTATGCTTCCAATTACACCACGAAGTCATGCGGAAAGGAGGGAGAAAATACCTTATAACTCAAACACAAAAATATACTCGGGCACAACCGCGATGTGGCGAAAGCTTTACAGTCTTCCTGCCCATCAAGGGCCGAGCGGCAAGATCACTGAACACTGTATTTTGATCCAGCTTTAAATCCTTTGAACAGCGTGGTTGCATGGGATTTTTATGGTTTCCAATAAGTGTAATGTGAATATGAGCCGATTCTCTTTAGAAAGGCCTCTACAAAGGCATCCCTTCCCTTAGGCAGGTAGCCCATACGTGTTTTGTTTTAATACAGATACTATAATTGAGTTCAACAGTCTTCCAATCCATTGGTCGGTTAAGATTGCCTTCGACTTATTATTCATCATATAAATTATGCACATGCAAGTTTGCGTGTTTTCTAATTTGAGCGAATATTGCAACAAGAGCCAAGAAAGATAGGATAGAGTATAATTCAAAACTAAATTTTAGTAAACCTTGAGAATAATGTTACTAGGTAACTTTAGTTTGACTTCGTGGAGGACTTTCTAAGGCAAACTGGCTCGTATACACGTTACACATGGGGAAAAACACGAAAACACCCATGCCGTTTATACATTAGGAATACGACGAAAATAGGCGAAGTTGCACCTTTTAATTCAGTTAGTCAAACCGATTCTGTTTTTAATTGTTTGCTCCGAGTTGAATGTGAGATGGATTTAAACGTTTTTATTTTTTTATTTTTATTTTACAGTATTGCCACTAAGTTTTGCAGCTCTCAGTACATAATTGAATGAGCTCTTGAACTGATTTTCACTTTGTATTTATTCATCATATATTTATATATATATATATATTACTTGCTCATTAACTTTTCACAATTACGTTCTTTTCTTCTAGGAATTACCCTCTTTTCCCCAGAGCAACTATATACATGTAGGTCGTGAGGATGAAGAAATCTGAAACATTGTTATAAACTAATAATCTAATCCACTTCTAGTTTAGCCGCACTAATTAGCACTGTAATTATTTATGGAAATAGATTCAACGGCGAATTAAGATTGATTCTGCCGGCTAAGCTAGTTTCCATAAGACTTTATATCGTCTAAATTGCTTAGTCCTGTTAAAGATAAATTTTTAATTATGTTTGATTTACCAAATTTTTAAATTTGCTTCGAGGATAATCAAAAAAGAGTGTAAAACCCCCTTCCCCCTCTTAATTCTTCATTTAATAAAACTGTATTTTCAGCTACAGTACAGTAAAATGAAGATGTAATAAAATCCAGTATTGAAAAAAAAAATTAAGATATAAAAATGGCTTCGAATCAACATTGAGGTTCTTTTTAGCAAATGCGATGAAACTTATAAAAATATATCAAGCGAAGTACCTCCATTGAGTATATTATGACACTCACTATCATCAAATTGCATATATATAATTTAATAATACACACGCATTTGTGCGTGTATACATATATATGTGTGTGTAAATTAGCTTTCAAATTACCGATTATCTTAAAACCTAACCGTAATATCATATTAAAAAATTAACCAAATATATGCATTAATATTTTATATTAATGTAATTACTTTACACATTAATTTTACACATTGCTTATTTGTATGTGTTTATATATATATTGTTTCACAGACAAATTTATAATATGTGATATTTTATTTATATCTGTTATATAAATTTAGTTCTGAATTTATGTTTTTATCTGCTAAGCTTAACAGCTGTCTCTAGCAAAATGCATAAATAAAATAAAAGTAAACGGAGGAAAAAGCAGCATTATGTCTTATTCAGTTGAATATGGATGATTTCTATCTGACCAACACTTAATTTTAGTTCTTCGGACAGGCTTTTATTCTCTAAATTCGGCGTATTAACAAGTGAATTAAATGAGTATCTGAAGTTGAGTCACATCGAATAAATCTCTGCTTTCTAATCATTTCAGTTATAAATTAGAATAATTTAGTAACTACCGCAGTTAGTAGCTTTTTACGCTGTAGGCGTGCTGTATGATACATTTTGTACTTTCATGAACCAAAAGCATTCTCTTGTTCTGGTTAACGCATACAATGGGCGCAAGGTAAAACTTAAAAGGTAAGAGATAACATAAAACATTATTTTCCACGACTTGTGATATTAGAACTAGAGTAGTACAGAATAAATATTTTTGACTTCTCGAAACAAGAGCAATTCACTGTTTGCCTACAATACACTGACTGACAATTTCAGCAAAACCATACTCGAAGTTACAACACTCTCGCTTCTAACGGAAAAACACAACTAGCTCTCAACACTTATCTATTCGTGATTTGACATTAGTTGTTCAACTTTCTGTTCTAATGGCTGGCTCTTCAACCCTTTGACTGCTATGGGCGCATATATGCGTCTAGCAAAAACCATCGGTGTGGCCTATGGGCACATATGCGCATTCGGTGGTGTAGCCAATGAACGCAAATGCGCTCTCGGCGAATACTTTGGCTGCTTACTATTGTCTCGTGTGTATGTTCGGAAATTGCTTAGCAACGAGAAAAATGAAATCTCGTTTATTTGCTAGTCATTCTGCGGCCGCACTCCGCTCATGCGAAGCGCTTCAACTTAGAGCAGTTAGCACTCAAAGGGTTAAACAAATAGCACCATAGGGTTGAGAATTAAGTTCAGAACTCCGCTAAAATTTCATCCTAATTCTGAACGAAGACACTTCCTGTTGGAATTTGCATAATTTCTGGACTGAGAGAGTACTTAATGAAGCAAAGCATAAAGGAATGAAATTAACTTGAAGCTAACTTGTAAGGTATATCTCTCACTTTCCTAGCGTGCCTTCCTGGTGTAGTGGTTCTGCACACTGGGCTGGTATTTCAGAGGTCCGTGGTTTGATTCCCGGGGAAGGCGGTTGCTAATTTTTCCTCTCTCTTGCTTTCAAAATAATCTAATGCCTCTACAGTGGCGCCCGAACTAAAAGGGTTGTGGATGATGACTCTCCACACCCAGGTTTTGGCGATTGGGTTCCCTAAAAACCCCAGTCGCCCTTTAAAAGGGGGTGTATGTGAGGTATTTCTCCCGCCATCCTAGCGTGCCTTCGTGGTGTAGTGGTCAGCACACTGAGATGGTATTTCAGAGGTCCGTGGTTCGATTCCCGGCGAAGGCGTTGCTAATTTTTCATCTCTTCGGCCTCAAAATAACCTAATGTCTCTACAAACTGTTAGTAAAACCTAAATCATAAATGTTACAAAAGTAGTACGGGGGTTGCGTCTGGGTCTACTTCTAGATCCGATGCTATGTTTAGCCAAATTGCGACCAACGTTATAACAAGCAGTAGTTTCATTTCATAAATACAATTTTAATTTAGATAAGATTAATAACAGAATAATTTAAAACAATTTCAAACTGTGCATGATGCACTATTCTTTAAAGTAATAAACAAACATCAAATAATTCTGAACTTACTGCCGTGGTGGCGTTAATTTTAGAAGAGGTAGTGATTACGGGACATTAAGTACAAGTAATAGGGGGACCGGAAAGTAATGTCGTTTCTGCACATGTCGACAACATGCTAAAGGCAGAAGTGGAAGCAAATCCATGTCAAACACTCTTAAACAGCCTTGGTCGACCATCGAAGAACATTTAAAGCAGAATGGAAAAATAAGCAAAGCAGATGTTTGAGTCTCCCATAATCTGTCCGAAAAGAACAAAAGCCAACCTATCCATCACATGCAACGTATTGCTTCAACGGCACCATACAGAACCGTTTTTTGATCGTTTGATTAGTGGAGACAAAAAAAAAAAAAAGTCCTATATGATAATCCAAAACTCAAAAGGCAGTTTTAATAGGGGTTAAAAGGGTTTACATCCCGAAAAGGCGCTTCTGGCTGTTTGGTGGAGTATTCGCGGAATTGTTCATTTTGAATTGCTGAAACCTGGACAAATTGTTAATGCAGACCTTTATTGTGAACAATTGGATGGATTGAATCAATCTTTAATCTAAAAATATCAATTGTCAACAGAAAAGGCGTCATTCTGCAACACGACAATACAAGACCGCACTGTGCAAGACGAACACTGGAAAAAATTAATGAATTGGGATACTCACCCACAATACTCGGCTGATATCGCAGCATTGGATTTCCATTTATTCGAATCCCTACAACATTTTCTCAGTGGCAAAAAATTTTTAAATTTGGATGATGTCCAAAATATCTTCTCGAGATATCTTACTCAAAAACCAATTGATTTTTATCGGTCCGGGATTGAAAATCTGCACATTAGATGGCAAAAGATTGTTGATAACGAGGGTGATTATATTATTGATTAAAAATAAAAACTTGTTACAAATTTATTTGTTTGGATTTAATGTAAAAAACCGACATATACTTTCCGGTCCCCCTATTACATCAGCAAACTGCTGTAATAACGATATGCCATAAATCTTACTGAAAGACACTACATATAGGTATAGCTTGCATTATAGAATAAAATAAAATTTATTTGGTTACTCAGTTAGCATTTAATTGAATTAATTAAATAGCTTGCGATTATATGTTCTTCAGGTTGGTTATGTGTGATGTGGGGAAAATTGAAATATTAATTTTATGAGAAAATTCTGATAAGCTGACAGCTTATCAGCTCTAAGCTTCTTTTAAATAACTTTCACATTTCGAATTGCATTTTATTTCACTATTTCGTCTCACTTGTTTTTTTTTTTTTCCAGAAAAGTGTGTGTGGACTACGAGCAATGATAATCACTAGTACCGTTTTTTAAATTACTGATTTGTTTTTTGTACGAAATAAAGCAAATAACCGTACTTCTTAATGTTTACTTCCATTAATTTCAATTCACAGTTACAACTATCGGGAATACTGGAAATCCAGAAGAATTTTTTTGTTTGTCTGGCAAATGACGTCCACCAGCGACCATGTGGACAAGACGGTTTAATATTGATAATTTGACCCTGGGTTTGAATTGGCAGAGAACATGCTACCCAAATTTACGTTTCCCACATGTGCGACTGGTCAATTTCTCCTCAAAAGTGTTCGACGAAGACGTCACTTTCCTTAGGCAGCTTACCATCGCCAAGGTTTGCCGTATAAGCCTGCTGAGCAAAAAAACTCTCTGCAAAAGAATGTACAATGATTAATATGAAAATGAAAATATAAAATATGAAAATCTGTAAAGCATAGGAACATGCTTTGCTGAATAGAGAGCAGAATAGGTAAGAAATATTTAATTTGAAAATAATCCTATTAATTAAAAATTGCGAAATCCTTGTTCATTTATTTCGAAGCTTCTTTCCAATCAAAAACTTTTACTATCTTTAAAATTATATATGTTTCATGTTGCGACATTTGGAAAATGTTGTTTCGGCTCTTGAAATATATCTGAATTTTAATGTGCACCTCGCGCTAATGTAAATTTTGGCCAATTTTTGTGCCAGACTATGGGAAATCAATACTTTTGGCTCACAAGGATAGATAGACACATTATTGTACCAAGGTAAAAATCAATGTAGCATTTATTTCAAAGATTCTTTCCAATCAAAATCTTTTAATATCTTTAAAACGATATGTTTCTTGTTGCGACTCTTGGAAAATCTAGTTGCGTCTCTGAATTATATATCTGAATTTTAATGTGCGTCTCGTGCTAATGTTAATTTTGGCCATTCTTGTGTTAGGCTATGGAAAATCAGTACATCTGGCTCACAAAGATAAATAGCGGCATTGCTGTGCCAGTGTAAAAAATCAATTAGCACTTATTTCGAAGATTCTTTCCAATCAAAAACGTTTACTATTTTTAAAAAGATATGCGTTTCTTATTGCGATTTTTGGAAAATCTAGTTGCGGCTCTTGAATATATCTGAATTTGAAGGTGCACCTCTTCGTAATGTAAATTTTAGTCATTCTTAAACGCCCTTGATGTACCGGTGTAAAAATCAATGTAGCGTATTCCTTCATCATCAGATCGTGCTCTTTGGTAGTAATGCTTAAGCTCTGTTATCGTGCAACAGAGACGTAACCACTGAATGTAAATAATGTACCATAATAATTTCAATAATACCGCAGGTACGGACATAAGACGAGACAACCAATGATTCCACCAGCGATGGCAGAGCTTGCGATGTCTATTGCTACAAGAGGTAGCATATCGGAGCCAGAACGGTACCGTGGCTCTAGGAAGGCTTTAATTTTGTGCACCTAGTGTAAGGGGCTTATACCTATTACTCAGGGTAAGTAACATATCGCCCCTGCACTTATACCCAACCTAACTTAAGGTGGTGAATTTCTGAGTTGGTATCCTTTCAACCGGTGGAAGATTAGTCGAAAAGGAAAATCATGTAGGAGCTTTGAGCCGAAATTTCCCCTTTCCCCCCCCATGCACATAAGAGGAAACGAAGCCGATTGCAAATAAATAAACGATCCCCCATTTATCCAAGAACTCGAAACTTTTTTCGCCTTATTCAGGCGTTAACCTTTTAAGTTCGATGTCTTCAACTTTTCTCCGTTCGATCACATTAGGAAATTAAGTATACAATACAATTTGTTTAGATTTGATCGTGTTTAAGAATAAGAGCTGAAGTAAACCTGAATTGGAACGACTAAAAATGTTCTTCTTTGAAATTCTAATTTTAAAAAAATTCAGACAAATTAACTTAACTAAAAATGCGTGGATTTATAATAAATTCCCTTTCTTAATAAGAATTAAATGTAATTAGGATATTTAGCTAGCTTGATATTTTTGTCTTCGACGTATTATTTACAAAAAAAAAAAAAAAAAAAAAAAGGTAAGCTTTCAAATTTTATTGCTGAAAGACGGCACTTTCATTTTAATTTACCGTTATTTAATTAAATTACATTTCACAGCAGAAATTATAAAAAATTACTTCGCTGATACATGCTATGACTTTTAATTATTATTTTAAAATGAAATGAAGCAAGAAGCTTAACATGTATGACAAGTGGCTGCATTCTGAGTTTTTATTTCAACGTTAGGTGCAGAAATTAAAATCAGCATTAATGAATAGTTAAAGCTTTAAAAAATGAAAACAGTTTTAAAAAAAGCTTTCTAAAACTGAACTTTAAAAGATTGATTCGAACTCATTTATCTCAGAAAAAGGAAATCATATATAAAGTGTTAGTATACCCTTCTCCAAAAACCAAATCGTTCGCCAATACACCAATACACAGCATTCCAATAAAATGAGGATGCCACTCAAAATACTGAGCAGTAAAATTAATAAAAATATGTTTCTTGACTTATCTTTCTACACATTTTGCAAGAGCAATGTTTCCAAAATTTTATTTTTAGCTTATTAAAATAGTCATCATTTCAGGAAAGGCGACGCTCCCGAATTAAGCGTTTTCTTACTTTTCTCCATGTATAACGTGAATGGGAACCAGTTTCCCTTAAAAAGTATTTTAAGGAAAATCGAACTTTCGGGAACAGTTATGCGTATGGATAACTTGAAAGAGAGGAAACTACACGGTCAGGCCAAAGCTGATAAGTACCCGGTTACTTGCATGTGTTTCATAAGTGTGTGTGGAGATTTTTGGCTAAAAATCCACTATTTTCCTTTTCGGCTCAAATTCCACGACTAAAAGTGGACATCACCGAATTTCTGGTGTCCCTCCCCCTTCTATCTGTACTTGTACCTGCGCCTGTACACAGAGCCTCATGTGATTTGAGTTTGGTACATTTTCCTGTTACCCTTGCAGCGAAATGATGTTTAATTATAGCCAAGCGAACTTGTATTCTACTATTTTACTAAAATGAAAAAGTATTTGTGATGTTTGCATTTTCATTAAATGAAATACATTATTTTCTATCTCTTCTTTTATTTAAACGAAGGAAAACATGTCTCAAAATCTTTTCATGGTGAAATAAAAATAAATAATGTCACAAGTGTATGATTCTGGCAATATCGTGTTTTAAAAAATTCATGAATTCATCTGTACTGTAGCAAAACCATCTTAGCTCCCTTAACTCCTTGATAAAGCTCACTCTGTGTCCATCCGGCTTGGAAATATCTACCTGGAAGTATCAAAAATTTCATTTTCATTGTTCTTTGTCATAAAAGTTTCAAAAGAAACAGAACCGAAAGCACATTACTAAAATATATTTTCAGTCAACTCAAAGAAAATTTTGTCTTCTCTTTTAAACAATCGGTGCATTGTGTACAGTCGTTTAAATTACGCTGACGATACATTGCGCATTTATGTTTTGAAAGTTTAAATTTCATAAAATTATTTTTGGAACTCTTTTTCCATTTATTTCTTATTGTTCTCTGAAGCAAGAACATCTAGTCATTTAATGAAATGTAAGAATTTATTTCTCTAACATTAAACATAATGCTTTAGTAATTAAAAATTAAATTAAAAAGTAAATATATTTAATACTATCAGGAAAAAACCTTTGTACAAAGATTTCAAATAAAAAATATAAAATGTGTTAAAATTATAAATCCTTTCTTAAAGAGTTATTTTTGTAAAATGATCAGTTTTATAACTTTCCAAAATTTATCCAGCAAAAGTTATATACAATGAAAAAAAACAAAATACGTTTAAAAACTTTTAAGGTAGCGGCATTATTATTCTGTGCATAAAACCACTGCCATTGTTCTTTCACTGTTGATTAAAATTACTGTGGTGCAGACAATTTTCCAGAAATCTCAAAACTGCAGAATATTGGTCCGCTAAATCGTTTTCCAATCGGTAATTTCAGTTTTAGAAAATAGCTAGCTGTGTCAAATTTTGATAAAAGTTTTAATACAGGATTTTAGTGATAATTATGACGCTTCTCCCAGATCTTTGAATAAAAATTGTAAGTAGCTGTAATCAGAAAAGTAGGAAATAGTTTTACAACATATACTTAATCGAAACATATTTACAAAGCATATATGGATTTTGTTATATAGGTTTTAAGCCCCAAATATGTTTTGAGCCCCAAAAATTCAACTTAACGATTTCAAAACATTAACGAATAATCAAGAATACGGTTTGTTGAGGGCAGCTCATCTTGGTACACAGAATGTATGTTTTGTAACATAAATTCAATAATCATTTCATAATCAATAGGCAAGGTTAAAAGTAATTTACGTAGTTCTTGCAGCATTTGTAAGCAAAACTAGACTAAATCTCTGTTTGGCAGCGTTGCTGATGTCTCGAAACACTATCAAATTCTTTTGAATTTGATTCCCGAAGACTTACTGGGACTGTGGTTTAACCAGAAGTTACGCAAAACCCAAAGACGAGCGAATTTTCCTTAAAAAGTCCTTTAAGAAGGCGTCCTTGCTTCGGCAGGTAGATTTTGAGAGCTTTGCACTGTGGCAGTCTTATGCTGGGTTGCGCGCGCTGCCAGATGGCGTCATGTTGTTTTCGTAATAGCCGCAGGTGCGACCACGTACTCACGCACATTGCCCTTATCTCGAGTAAGAGAAGGTTCGAGTATTCATGTAGAAATTTGACAGTTTTAATGAATATTATGTTAATAGTCGTGTTGATAAAATTGTGTTTCAGAGACGTGGAGTCATGTCTTCCAAGAATATTTATCGAGCCAGATCAATCACAATGGTGACCCGGACGGAATCAAATTTCAATTAATCAGTCTGATATCCATAAAACGGCTATTGTCACTCCTTTCGGACTTTTTGAGAGCATAAGAATGCAGTTCGGGCTATGCAACGCAGCTGCAACCTTTCAACGCTTTTGTTGATGAAGTAACTCGTGAGCTGCCAGAGGTATTTGCTTTTGTTGACGAGATATTGATTGCGTCAAAGTACGAAACTGAGCATTTGATACACTTGAAAGCTCTTTTTGAAAGATTAAACAAATATAGGTTAAGAATTAATGTATCTAAATGCAATTTTGGTGTAACATCTGTGGAGTTTTTAGATTTTGACGTATCTGAACAGGGTTTAAAACCTTCACCCGACAAAGTGGAATTTTCCTAAACCAAACTCCTTAACTCAGTTAAGGAAATTTCTCTGCATATTTAACTTTTACAGACATTTTCTCCCAAGATCTTCGCATGTTTTAGCTTCCTTGACCAGGTTACTGGAAGACCGCGTTAATAAAAAGAAACCTTCACAACCAAGCAAAGCAAAAGTATACCCTCTCGAATAGGACGACGAGGCTAAGATAGCATTCGCCAATGCGAAAAAAAAAAGGCAATTGCCGAGGCAACCCTTCTCAGGCACTCAGTTTCTGTGCTATCTTGAAACTTCGTACTGGTACATCGGACGTTTGCGGTTGTGGTAGCTTATTAATTAAATTTGGGGACCCATTCCGTTTCTATCCGGTAAACTCAGCATAAATCAAAGGAAATGGTCAACTTATGATCGAGAACTATTGGCTTGAAGGCAGGGCCTTTACAATCTACACATATGAAAAGTCCTTAACTTATGCTTTAAGCAAAAGCTCTAAAAATGCTCTCCACGACAACTTCGTCATCCTGATCTTATTGGCCAATTTTCCACTGAAATACGCAGGACAATATCGTTGCTGATGACTTATACAGGTAGAAATAGTTGCAGCATCTGATAATCAACACATTGATTATAAAAAGTTATCGAAAGGTTAAAGTTATCTTCAGGACTCCAAAATTCTCTATCTCAAACTTCACCAGTTTTTAAACTAGAGAAACATTATTTTCCTTTAGGAAATGTTACTCTTTGCTGCAATATGGACTCAGGTACATCTCGTCCGTTTATTCCTGAATCGTTTTGCTCTAACATTTTTCAGTATATCCACTGTCTTTCTCATGCCGGTATTTAAGCTTCAACAAAACTAATCACTAAGCGATATTTTTGGCCTAATATGAAGACATTTATTAAAATTGCAGTTCAATTTTGTCTACAGTGTCATCTTTCTAAAATTCATAAACATTCAAAATCACATTTGGGTACCTTGCCTGATAAAAGATTTGTACATATCCACACTGATTTCATATGTCTCTTCCGCTGAAGGTAACCGTATTGCATAATAATTATTGACCGCTTTACCCACAGATGGCCAGAAGTTATACCTACTGCCGACATGTCAGCTCAGACTACTTGCAAAGTGTTAGTGCATAACTGGATAGCTAGATTTGGTAGCAATAACAACTGATCAAGGCCGAAATTTTGAATCTCACTTACTTAAGGGTTTAATGAAGGTTTTGGGTTATACATCGCATTAGAACTGCTTCTGATCATCCTCGTCCAATGGGTTGATTGAGCGATTTCTTAGGCAACTTAACAGTGCAATAATGCCTCATAACAATCAAAAATGGACTGAAATTCTGCTTGTAGCTCTGTAGGGTATCAGATCTGCCGTTAAGAAAGATATAAATGCTACTACTGCCGAACTTGTTTACGGCACCAAACTCAGATTACCCTCAAATATGCTGAATGTTACTAATTTCGTTCCTCCTTTTGAATCTTATTTGTCATAGCTTCGATCAGTCATGCATTCAGTTAGACCGATTTCCAATCTCTAAGTATGTTCAACCATCAGTTTATGTACACCCGGCTCTTCAAACCTGTTCTCATGTATTTCTACTTATCGATTCTGTTAAACCTTCTCTAACTCCACCTTACACCGGACGTCACGCCATTGTTAAACGGATGGACAAAAAATTTATTATTGAGAGTTAAATAACAAAAAGATTACTGTTCCAATCGATCGCTTAAAACCAGCGTTTATGTTATCCGAAAGTATAGACGCACCTGTAATATCTCAGATTCCACGTCAAAAAGTCTGTAAAGACTCAAACATCGCTCCAAAACAAATACATTACTCGCAGTTTATTTTCCCAAAAGACTGATCACTGTAATATAATTGAATACTTTTTCTCTTGGGGTCAGGTGCAGAAGTTACAGTATATGAATACTTAGATTAATTTCTTTTGCATACGTTTGGGAGTTGCTTAAAATTCTTATTGCATTAACTTTTCATTATTTTTGTTTAATTATGATATGCATTTTATGGTTATATATTTGAATTAGATTTAAGTATATTATTACTTGTATATCACTATTCATATATTTTGTATTTCTTGTTTTTTATACTTACATTTTAAAGTATAACTTTTATTCTAATGTGTATATCTTAAATTGGAATTTTGCAATCAACCCCTTTTGTGTCTTGATTGTATCACTGAGGGATACTCTGTGGCAGTCTTATGTTTGTCTGCGCGCGCCGCCATATGACGTCATATTGTTTTCGTAATAACCACAGAAACGACCAGCGAACACATGCACATCTATACCAACGATTTCCCATGCTTTTCCGAGGATACAAATGTTCTCACAGCCAGCTACGCTGATGATACAGCGATAGCCACCAAGTCTCTAAACCCAGAGTATGCCTTGTCAAGAATTCAGGCTAAAATCCCTGCTATTGAGGGGTGGTGCAGTCGCTGGATAACGTCCATTCAGCCAGAAAAGTCCAAGATTCTACTCATTCGAAATCGCAGACAGAGGAAACGGGTCAGAACTGAGGTTAAACCTTTTGGCAAAATCATCCCTACAGTTGATAAAGCTAATTACCTGGGAGTTACCCTTAACAAGAACTACAGTTGGAAGGATCATATGCTTAGAGTAAGCGGAAAAAGCACACGGGATCATTTTCAGGCTTTTTCCTCTCCTAAAGAATGAAAACCTCACCCTCAGACTGAAAAAGAGGATTTATGAAACTGTAATCCGACCCATTCTCACGTATGCTTCCCCAGCCTGGGCAACTACAAAGCAAACGAAATTAGCAAACTCCAAGTGCTTCAAAATAAGGTGCTAAGAATCATCCAAAGCTCCTTACTATGTTCGGAATAAGACCCTCCACTCCGACTTGAAAATAGATACTATTCAGGACTACCTCAGCAGAATAAACAACAACTTTTTTAATAATATTATCAATGTGAATCCCGCTAATTTCACGGACATTCTTATCTACGAAATCCTGGCTGAAGACAAAAACCTCCGCCCATTCGCCGCCCATCTCTTGAGTTCAAAATTCCAAGTTCCAGTTTTCTGGTTTTCAAGCAGCATCAATCGGGGTCAGTTTCTGGGAGGGTGACCTCCCACGTGACTGGCTCCGACGAATGAACAGTTAGTATTCGGGTTATCCTACACAGGTCATCCGAAGTTTCTTTCTCTGGCCCCTGCTTGGCGGATTCCATCCAAGATGTAGCAGTACAGGAGCAAAGTGCTTCTTTTCTCTTTTCTCTCTCTCCAGCACACTTCTACCTCCACGAGAGAAAATTTCTTTCAGGTTTCTACTCTGTCAGGCCCCACATGGGATCACATCAGGAACTGGCAAGAGCAGGATTTTAATTTCCTGCTGAATGCCAGTATAACCCCAAAGTTACAAAGAACTCATACAAATTCTCTTATCTCGAGTGAGAGAAGGTTCGAGTATTCATGTAGAAGTTTGACTGTTTTAATGAATAGTTGTGTTAATAAAGTTGTGTTTTAGCGAGGTGGAGTCTTGTCTTCTAAGAATACTTACCTATCCATACCTTTCACACCTTTAACAATAATTAACTACAGGCATTTGTTAAATTTAAACAAATATATTCAATACAAATTTGTAGGTGATATTTTTTCCGAAAGCTGAAATGATACATTTGAACGAAAGGTTTATAAAATTAGATTAAACAATAGAGTATAATTATAATAACAACAAAAGTTCAATAATAATTATCAAATTATTGTTATTTATTAGCTTTTATGTCTTAAAATTCGATTTGCGCCCCGATGAATTCAATCAGATAATTATGATGACAAAGAATCACATTTCTTTCATATTAAAGCCACCCTGTTTTCAATTATAGCCTGATTCTTTTACTTGATAAATATGTTTTCATGGTGGCAAGTGGAACTTTATAAAAGGGAATTAACGTGTGAATATAGAGATAAATTAAAGGCTAATTAAAGACCTGATTTTCAAACGCACGTTAACAATTTGATGGAAATCCTGCCAAAGTTGCACAAATTGTTCCTACGGAAATCTGAAGGAACTGATACCTACTTATTTAATAAACAATCAGTTTTCAACTCGCTTCGTTACAGCCATTCTTAACTAAATTTCCGTCTATTTCTACTATTTTGCAAAGCCCTCTGATTTTACCAGAAATTCTGTTTAGAATACTGTTTTAGGAGTACAAATTCAAACAATTTCTAAGTAATTGCTCCAATCTATTTCTGTTTTGTCGGCCATATTCAGCTGACCATTATCGTGTCCATTAATGCGCTCTTTAGTAGGACCCCTTAAATTTGAGAATAATCTTCTGGTTGCTGTTCTGAAAGAAGCAGGTCCCAAATTTTAATGCTTTTTTTTTTTTTTTCCTTTTCGTTTTCCCCCGAAAATGCAAGGGGGGAATACAGCAGTAACAGTTAATTTGTATCCTTTTTGTTCATAAAAACAAAAGGTGGCTTATGAAGAACTAGTTGTGCTACTTCAAACGAAAGCACAAATGTTATGAGGGTGTTATTAGGTCTCGCTTATGCATGACTGAAGTTGAATCGCACTGCTTGGTGATAGTTTCACAGTCGATGGAATAATACATAAGTACCAAAATTATTTTAAAATTTGAGTTTGTATGTGGTAAATTGAGTTCTAAGCAATTTTAAAGTCTCATATCATGGGCTTTGTTTTAATGCGTTAAAATACATAGTTAAAAGTCTTAATTTAAAACATGGGTTTAATATGCAGTATAGCTAAATTACAGCACATATACCTACGCAAAAGCTAAGTGTTTGCAAGAATTTTATTATGTATGTAAATTATGAATATGCGCAATGTTGTGCTGATATATGCCAAGAAAAAAAAAAGAGATTATATTGACACATACTTAACGCAGGTTGCTCTAAAATTTACTAATGGTTAGGGATAGGTTAGAATATAATGAAATATACAGTTAAAGCATTGAAATAAGATGTTATGGAGCAACGGCGAATTAAACTCAATAAGTTTATTTTTATAAAAGTATATAGAAATAGCATATATAAAAAGAAGTTTGAAAAAAAAAAACTTTCATGCAGGAGTAAAAGTTAGAAAAATAAATAACGAAAGGAATATTTTTTACTCACATTTTTACGTGTTCTTCTTTACGTTTCTATTTTATTTGCTTCATCAACATGTTGTTTTAATATTCTGTATATATAAGTATAACATGAATATATTTTTTGTAATCAAGTCAGAAAACAGTTGCATACAGTTTTAAATTTACCGATTAATTTATTTAGTTGAGTACAAACAACAACAGTAAGGATCTTAACAGGCAAACCTCTTAAAGAGATACTGTATCCACACTTGCGGAATGTACGGAAATTCTATGCCAATTTACTTTCTGATTCACATATCACAACCGGGCCGAAAGAATAATTGTATCATCAGCCTTTATATTCGATATTAACTGAATACTATTTTCCATCGGAACTGTATCTAGCACGATCCTTAAAATGAAAAATAAAAATGAAACACTTACTGTTGAAATCAGCAGTAAAAGGAACAGATGGTGCCACAGAAGTCAGTGGTACATAATTTACCGCATAAATCAGCACAAAGTCCAGGTTTGGCGTCAGAGGTTGGCAAGGTCATGCTCAGCAGGAGGAACAAAGCAAGAATCATTACCTGCAGAACTGAAAAGGGGAAAAGCATGTTTTTATTTTTTGGAAAACATGTCATCTATAAAACAGTTTTAGAATTGCGTCACATAGATGCTTGCAACTACGTGCCGAGGCATTGTGGTCAATTCTGGCTCTCTCGTTTTTTTAATTTTTTTTTATACCTCTTTCTTTCTAAGAAACGAAAATCATGAAGAGTGGTATTTTAAAATTAAGAGTAAATACGTGGTTTTTGAAGATAAAATGAAAAATTATTTATTATCTTATTTAAATTAGGTAATGAAAGCTACAAAACTGATCATTTACTTTACTCATCTAAACATTAAAAACACAAAAACATTTAATTCTCAGCAGGGCTGGTTTCACCATTAAGCAAACCTAGGCGATCGCCTGAGCCGGTTGATATTTTGATTTTTTAATTACAGCAAAATATTATCTAATTTAATATTAAGCAAATATTATTTGAGCACGCAGCAAATAATACGCAGCAAAATATTATTATGAGTACGCAGCAAAACCTCTGTTGGCGACCACATATCATAGAGGACTATACACGAAAGCGACCAGATTTCTGAGAACGTAAATAAAGATTGGTAGTGAATATCACTTAAGATAACCACCTTACAAGGAAGAGGAAAATTTTTTAGAGCTTAGGTGGTCTTTTTAGCGAAGTTTCACTGTACATCGATAATGTATAGCGATGCCTAAATTTACTTAGAAGTTTCAAGTACTCTTATGATGGTTACGATTTTTAGAGCCCGTGTTTCTATATTCCTTGCTTTAAATTAACTTCCGCCTATCTCTTATCTTTCTACACTGTTAGTTTTCTCCAGATTTAAATCAAATAATGGAAATTATCGATTAAAGTAACATTACTGTTTATATAAAAAGTTCATGCACATCAGCAAGTATGCGTGAACATCTCCACTAATTTAACAGTGAATATTAATATGGATGACGTGTCAGACAAAGAAAGTACCCAGCTGACTTCAGGCTCTGTCTAGACCTGAATTGCAAGTGTAATGCTACCCAATGCCCATCCCCATAAGTGGCTGCACAACCTAACTGCTTTAAATACGTGTATTTAAATGTAAATGTCGCATCGGATGTACTGAGCAGTCAAAGGATAATATCTTAGAATATGTATGCAAAATCATATGTACAGTACAGTCTGCGCATACCGCAGTGACATAGCAAGATGCTCCTATGAACAGTAGAAATGTATACTTACATGCCCCGGCATGTCAGACATCCTAACCTCATTTGCATAACTGCCAGAGCAATTATATTGCTCAATATGTATCAAAATCTAATGTCACGTCAATCTAATCATACTGCTTTCGTCAATCTAATCACACTGCTGAATCCGAACGCTGCACAAACTGTAAATGTAATACCACGTAACGCAAGTGTAACGTCATTTCTGAATAGTAATGTAAAGTCATATGTAATGTTGTATGGAATTACGTAACATAATATAGAAAATACTTACAGTACCGCATTATATGCAAACACTGTCATAAATAAGTATCTATGTGCCTGTACAAAAATCTCACAGGTACAGCAGGACCTCTGCCTTGAGCACCTATAATGTCTATATATCAGGTCTGCCTGTATGCCATCCTGAAGCTCAATCACATAAAAGCAAGAGCAACTATAGTGTTATAAATATGTTCTATATGCAATGTTGCTCCTGACAATGTCTTTACAGAGTTGAATCTGCATAATGTAATTCGTAAATGTAATGTCAATAATGGTAATGCAATACCACTATTATCTCATACCTCATATATAATGTCAATGCCGTATCGCATAGTGTCTATATAAGACATGCAATGTCATAATTATGTAAATATGTATATGCGCAGCACTATTTATACGTGCACTGAAGTAATTTAGTTGCAACCGCCTTCTGCACACATGTAGTGCATATGTACTAGCCCTGCATGAAAGCTTTCCCAAGTTCATTTGCGTAATTACAGGAATAATTATTATGTTCTATACGTACCTATATGCAATCTCTAGCCAACTTTAGATAAGGGTGGACGTGGTGCTGTACTAATTAATCTTTACGGCAAAGGGACAGTGCCCACGTTCACCGTCACTTATCACTTATCACTTATACAAAAAGTAGCCGATTATGCGTAGCGAAGCGGTTGTTAAGAAATTTGCATTTTATAATACTATGGAACTACTAATAAGCTTATTTCTCTGAAATTCCAAAGTAAACAACTAAATAAGTTATAACTGCGCCAAAGTAATTCTATAAGGTTTTCAAATAAGATTTTGTTAGTCATATATACCCTCACAATGAGTGCAGAATTTTTTCCTCTGAAAGCAAATTTTTTAGTCATGTTGTCAAAAATTGCCCTTCTTTTCTTATTTGAAAAGTGGTATACAACGTAACTGAAAAATTCCTACTTAATAAGTAAATAAAAGCAGTAGTATTAAATATAATTTTGCTCGAAAGATAATCAAACTATTGTTATCATGAGCAGTTAATATATACAAGTAGATTATTTATAATTTCAATCAGAAAATAAATGGCTTCAAAATGGAATTTAGAAATGCTAACAAAATATCATTCTGTATATTAAAAATTTCGAGTGCGATCTGAAAGTCTCTAAAATATAAATTAGTTCAATTTTTGAGGTGCTAGAAGAGAACATAACAAATTCTTGCAGAGTTATGAAAATTTTTCATAAAAAGTAAGTACTGTTGTCATTACAAATTCACAATTTTTCTATTCTAGTACATAGTTATGAAATTCTATTAAAATACTTATTTACCTATTAGAAAGCAAAAAAAAATTCTTATTGTAGAATAATGTAATATCTAATGCACAGAAATTAAAAATACAGTATAGTAGTAAACTTTGATTAAAATGGGCAAGTCCTCTACAAGCGAATCAGCGTAACTACTTGCCGATGACTGTAGGGTGCTTATACAATTGACATAAAAACCTCTGTTCCTTATTCAAGGTAACTGGTTTTTAGTACTGCATAAAAAAGAATCAAAGTTTGTGTTTACTTTTTATGCCCATAAAATTCTTTATAAAACGTACATATAATAAAAAGAAATGAATAAAAATTTAAATTCAAGTTAAGACGAATAACTTGTATAATCAAATTATGTCTGAGAAATTTAGTGAACATAATTTTACATTCCTACAATAATGATTTAATAGAAAATCTTGTAGATCAAAGGAAAATAGACTGAGAGAAAGAATAAAATATGGAGTAAAATTGTCACAATTAAGGTTTAAAATCTTCTTTGTTTAGGAAAGACCTTTTAAAATTTTTCGCACAGTATTACATATATAAATTACTGTACATAATCACAACAAATTTCTAAATTTTATGACTAATTCTCATTCCATTTAACATTATTTGAAGTAGCTTTTTTGACATTATGCTTTTCATTAAAATATTTCAAATTAAAATTGGAAGACCCTCAAAGCTTTCTCTAATACTAACATATCCATCTTATGGGCCAATCCACATTAGCAAGTTGAGGTTTGAATTCACCGGTGGTCAATAGGATGTTAGGCAGTTTCTTCTAAAAGGCCTCCGCTCTGGTTCACAACTGACCTTTTTTAACTGCGCTAAAGCATTCCATTTATGAAAAACAAAATTCTACTATATGAAAAAAATAAAAACAAAAGTAATTCTATATAAAAAAAATTGTATTTTTAAGGTGGGAGCCTTCAGATTTTATATTTACTTCATTCTCAAAGTAGTTAGAAAATTCTTAAGATTCAAATTTTTAAACAATCTGAAAAATTCCTACATAATAATAAAAGCAGTAGTATTAAATATAATTTTGCTCGAAAGATAATCAAATTATTGGTATCATGAGCAGTTAATATATACAAGTAGATTATTTATAATTTCAATCAGAAAATAATCTGATTCTTAAAATGATTAAAAAATTCATAAAAAAATAATTCTAAATTTTTATAACAAACAAATTTTAAAATATAATAATTTATATTCCGTAATATAAATATTCCGTAAATATAAATTAAATATCTAATTAATATTAATATAAATTAAATATCTTAAAATTCGTTGCTTAATTTCTCGAAACATAATTATGAAGAGTTAAATACCTTGATACCATAAAATTTTAATTTTATAGTTTCACCACACAGTATTACATTTTTTTAAAAAACCAATCTAGTGATTAAACAACATTATATGTTAAAATTTCAGAATAGAGCTTACTGATGAACAAATTATTTGTAATATTTCAATTGGGAAAGGAGAAAGGAAAATAATTTTCTAGCAAGAATAACCTAATTTGCACACGAAAAATAACCTAATTAATTTATTCACGTAAGAGCCGAAGAAGGTAAATAAAGTTAATTCAAAGCACTTGAACACATCGGGAGATTACTTTCATTCTGCAAACGCTACGCGCGATTAATTTTTTTTAAGCATTGACAAATCAATACAGCAAAACGACTGAAGATATTTTTTCTTTTCGCTTTTGAATATTGAAGAGGTAGCCAAACTCAATCAAACAATCAATCATATTAAAATTTGAAAATTTTATTTATTGCTATTTCAAAATCGTATTATGAAATCTAGTCTCATTTCAACTACACTGAGTTTCACAATTAACAGAATTTTCATATTTGGTTGATTATCTTCAGAACTGTTTACAGATTTTTATATAATATGGTAGTTACATAAGTCAATATAACGCCCCCCCCAAAAAAAATGGAGTATACCAAACATCAGTCATAGCATACACTCATGATCGTGCATCATAAGGCTAACCGGCACAGGAAAGTCTAAATGGAGGTTGTAAGATCGAACAAAAAAGGGAGACTAATAGAATAATACAGTCACTTCTAACTGTCATATAACACTCAGAACGTGACTTCGTACTAGAAATGAGGCAATTTATGAGTCCCTATGGCAGTCGGTCTTTTTGCAGCAACACTGCTTTCATGTCCTTGACGGTTCTTGACGGTCCTTGACGGTTGCAGTTGAACTCCCAAGAGCATT